TTCCGGGCCTGAGTCCCTGGGTGGGTCTCGGGGAGCGGGGGAGCCTACTGGGGTCAGTGGGGGAGCTGGCCCCCTGTGGGAGCATTCTTGCTCCCTCAGTTTTTTCCTCCCCATCCCCCACCACAAACCTCCACCCTCTTAATTTTTCAACTGCACTCACGTAGGGTTTTTGGGGCACAGGTGTGTTACAGCGGCAACAATTTTACATCTGTTTGCTGTGACCACCTGGGCTCCAATTTTACTGTACACCTTAGACATTTATTCATAACCTCATAACATTTACACATAGGAACTTGGGAGTGGGCACTTATGTATGTAAGGGGTGGGATGGGACAGTCTCGCCGCTGATGCCTGTGCCCACTCACATTATTTTCTTTTAGACATTTAGGGTTAGGGTTAGAGTTGGGGTGGAGGGGAAACTGGCATGGTGCTGGCCTCTGCCCTGTCTTCTTCCCTGTTTTAATTGCATTATAGAACATCACACATCAACAGTACATCTGGCGTGTCCGAGGCTGGGTGCTTGGGTGTGTGCCGGCTCGGCCCGGTGGGGCTTGGATCCCTCTGACCCTGTCGGGCCTTGGCCTGGGGGGGGGGATGCACCCTGGGGGCCCGGGCCTCTGTGTCCATGCCTGGATCCACTCTGGTGCGGTGGGTACCGGCGGGCCCTATGAGTTCGTCACTGCTGGCCCCAGGGGTTGCTGTGTGTGGTCGCTGGTGGGGCTCTTCCGGTTCTCTCCGGTGGTCCTCTTTGGGGGGTGGGTGGATGGCCCTTCCAGCGCGGGTGTCTCTGGGGCTGCGTGCTTGGGGTCCCTCTCAGGGTCTTTGGCGCTGGTCTATCTTTGTTTTGTAGGTGTGGAGACAAGAAGTCAGGTGTGCTGTCTTGTGTTTTCTCAACATATATTTTACATATCTTCGAATCTCTTTTTCACTCTCTCATTACATTTCACTTTTTTCTTTTTCTTTCCTTTTCTCCTTTTAAAAAAAGGCACTGATGATGAAGAAGCTAAGATACTAATATTCAGATATTCAGTTCTGCTTTCTACTGAAGTGGCAAGGGAGAAAAAGGAGTACAGGGAAACATCCTCTCTCAACTACTGCACCGAATATGACACGAAACAGGAAACAAGAAAATAAAAGCTTCTTCTTCAAAGTAAAATACAATTCAAAATCCAAGAAAAAAAACAAATATACATTGATAATGAGGATGGATTATTGGGGCCATATTAGGAACCAAAAATAAAAACAGTATAAAACAGAAATGACCAACTGCAGTGTAATGGCAACAACAAACATGTAAATTCAACAAAAAGGTGTTTTGAGAAGGTCCATCTGAGCCATTGATGGGAGCTGACCCATAGGTACTCCAGCTGATCCTGCACCTGTCTGCGGCTGGTTTACATACTTGGCTGTTCGTTGTTTGATGAAAGCTGCCATTAGTTGAGGGTTTGATTTGAGGATGTTCAGAACTTGCTGCTGTTGTTGAGGCGAGCTGGGGGGTTTGAGGGTGCGGAGGAGGTCTTGAAGAGCCGTTGGAGGTATAGTACCAGGTCTTTGGGGTGTTTGTGTCCTGGTGTAACAGTTGTGGAATGAATCACATCAAGGAACCAGGGTTTGCATTGATTCGTTCCTGTTTAAAACAAAAATAGTTTCAGTGCAGCAACTTCTGGGCTCCAGCTTCCCCACACACACCTTAACCAACCAAAAGAACAATAAAATAAATTAAAATAAAATAAAAACAACTACTTTGGCATGGTAAACTTGATAATGTCACCATTGGGGGAATTAAATATCCAGTACAGTGCTGCACTAAACATAAAAGAGTTAGACAACAATTTACAACATATGAGTTTAGCAAACATGCTTTTCAGAACATTTTTGAATATTTTAATGCACAAACAGAAGACAGCTCTGTATGCTCACCTCTCCTCAGAGATGCGTCTGCACTTGTCAGTGTTGCCAGATGGAAAATGTTGGATTATCGTATCAGCAGCTCAAAATTATCGTATTTTGAGGAAAACTATCGTACACACCCAAGTTACATTCTAGAGAGGCTCAAATTTACATCCTGTTCAGCTCACAGTGTGCTCTGTATTCAACAAACTGCACATTCCTTTGTTTATAATAAATTTAAATACACTGTATCTGACTGTCGAGTGTCCTTTTTTTAACAAAAGCTTTATTGTTAACAAGAACAAAACAGGGAGCCTGGTGAAATGATGCATATAAAAGGAAATATTAGATACAATGACTTTAATAAAATGTAAATTAAAATAAGCAAAGTTAAAATGAAATCAGGACAATAAATCATTGTAGTTTAGTCAAGAAATAAACTGAGTGCATACAAATTTAATCTGCAAGCCTCAAAGAAACTGTTTTTTCTTTAAAAATAGCTTGCGGATAACGCCTGGATGTTTACATGGTGGCCATGGTGGTTCAGTGCATTACTTATTGTTTTCTTTGAAACAATCGTACCTGCTAATTCCAGGTCTTTCTGAAGCTCTCCACAAGTGGTCCTTGGCTC